ATTTGATGATATTGGCTTTAGGAAAGCCAAACTGATTTGCCCTCAACTCTGCCTATCCAGCCAGAACATTTGAGATGTTTCAACTGCTGAGCTTTGTCAAGACGTTGGAACTTTAATGGTGTTCTGTACTTTTGACAATTGATTCTCCAGGAGTACTTCTGCTTCACAGTGGGTTTTGGAGCACTGCAGAGGCCTGGTGATCCAATCGAAAGCTCATGCATACCTGAGGATGTAATGATGGTGACAATACTCTGCACTGCTCCAGCCAGACTGGCCAAATAATGCTGCAGCTTTGTTATATTTTTTCCACTCTTCTCTGAAACCTGCAGGCCGAGTCCCAATGCCTTCTGCATGCAGTTCGCCAAGCCGCTGCGGGTTCTCCTTTCGCCCGAGACCCCAGCCCAGTGATCGTGAGCACCAAACCACCCACAAGATGGTGGAGCTCATTTGTTGGGAGTACTGTCAAGGCAAGGCATCCAAAGTGGGAGTTGGAGGGAACGAATAAAGCAGGAGTATCCGAACCGCACTCTCTGAGATTGACCCGATGATTCTGTGTATTATAAATATATTGTATAATATGCATACGGGGAGAGATGGAGAGAGAGTGGGGTGGATGTTGGTGTTATTGTGAACATTAGTTTGTACTGTAGAGGTTTTCACTTAAGTAATAATACTATAGAGAGCCTTGGTTAAAAGAGAACGATGAAGTCTGATTGTCAATTTGTTTTTTCGAGAAAACCACTGAAGCTAGGTGAGGAGTCTTGACTTTCAAGAATAGCTAGGTGTCATAATGCCAGCTGTACCGACTGTAACTCCACAATCCAACCTCCAACGCTTGGCCGGGGGGGAGGCGCGCATGCCACCATGATTTCCCACAAAGCCTTCAATGCAAGGGAACCACTCAAACGTAACCAACCTAGAAGCAATGGCCTCCAACAACCTACTAGCAGTGGTCTCCAACCCAGAAGCGATGGCCTCCAACCTACTTGCGATGGCCTCCAATAGTAGCGTGAGGTTCGCCCTTCTCCGTTCTCATGATTTACCTGCAGTTTCCTTTGAAGGCTCCATGATTCTGTACGTGATTCAGCTCATGATAGTGTGGATTCCTTTCCGCATCCACTACTGGGCCAAACATTGGAGGCGAACGATGATTGATGTTTTTGGTTTTGCAGCTGTAGCGGGCAAGCTATTCTGGACACTGGAGACCAAAAGAAAAAAGTAACCATCCCCCTTTCCAGGCCCCACAGCCCACGGTGAACTGGGGGAGAGAAAACGAGATGCTGTCCAACCAGGGCTCTATAGAACCGACATTGACAAGCACCTATGTTGTGGTGAGAATCATAACATATGACGTTTCCAAAGCCAGAAAGCTTGGGACTGCCATCTCATGGAGATGGAGCCTATATCTCTTGAGGTAGGCTTTTGTTGCCAAAGATTGAGCACAGATTTATATATGGCTGTCGAATCGCACTCCCGATGAGTGTTCGATCAGGTTCAATTGATGTCAAAGATACTGGAAGCCCTGTTTGTAGGTAGGGCAAACAGATGTTTGAATGAGTTCTACAGTATACCCATGATGTGCTTCAAAACAGCATGCCTTGGTGTACCTTTCACTAGCCCAAGACTCAAGACAGTCAATTTGACTAGCTCAAAGGAGTATGTCCAGAACCAGATTGGTGAACCAATGGCTTCTTTCGTTAGAGACCTTGCGGCAATTCTTTGCAATTGGGGGGGATTGCATCCTGAATTATGAATCCACCCACCTAGAGGGTGTTGCAACCAAGAAGAACAACTTTCTTTGGACACGCATCCTTTTCTCCCTGGACTGACCCGCCTGTTAGCCTGGCTGAGGAAACAGTGATCTTGTGCGGTGGCTCCAAAGGTGGTGCGAATGCGCTGGCTGCTGCCATCCAATGGTGCCACGATTGTTGTCATCCAATGGTATTCTTTCCTTGTCTTTGCCTTGCAAGAAAATGACCCATAATTATCTAAGGAGATCAGACGTGACATGACAATGACACCTGACATGACACAAGAGGACCCCGAAAAAGAAACCGGTGACACGGGAGAGCCCAGGTCGGTGACACAAGCACCAATTGAAGAGCCGCTGCCTTGGTTGTTCTGAACTTTTTGCTGGGTGGGTCCTGAGCATCTTTGAGCTGAGGAATGTTTTGCCCTGTCAAGAGCTGCAGGTCGTGCCTGGGCGGAAAAGACAAGCGCTAGCGCAACGTCGAATCGGTACCTCCAATTGCTTGGCATGGTTTGATTAAGCCTGCTGCTCGCTCTTGGTGAACCGACCCTAAAACTCCAGGGTAGAACCTGGATGGGAGCTGAGGTGACCTTTGGTGCTCCCAACATCGTTGGTCGCGGAAGTGGCAAGGCAGAAACTGCCCGAGCCCTTCAGGGGCTTCGACTCGCTGCTTGGCCGAGGTAGTCGTCAATTTGGACCCACAGCCCCACAGCCGTGCATCCAATGCCACCAGAATCTTTGCTCTCAGTCAAGGAACATGTGAGTCGAAAAAAAAAAAACCGGGAATATGTATTAAGTAAGGAATGTTCCCAGAGGTTCAGAAATCGCTTGGCCACCGCTTGGTATTCTGGTGTTTAAAGTGGGTATGTTACCTCGTCGCGCTAGCAAACGCAGGGTTGCGCTAGGTTCGCGCTAGGTTTGGCGCTAGGATCAAGTACTTAGGTAACTTAGAAAAGATTAACAAACAAGAGCTGATTGTAATGGTCACTCATTGGTGCACATACACACACACACCCGCACAGGCACAAGAGCAGCAACTGTTTGAAAGGCAGCGCGCGCTGAAAAAGGCAGCAACTGTTTGTAAGGGAGTAACTGTTTGAGAGACGAGAAAGCGAGTTCTTGATCACAGCGTTTGGTGGCCTCATGCACTGGCAGGGAAGCGCGCTAGATCCGCGCTAGACCCGCACTAGATCCGCGCTAGACCCCTTTGCAACTTTGACCACTTGTCCAAGTGCTTTCCAGGGTGTATAGTCTTGGCAATTTGTTTCTGTGTGCAAGAGGATGGCTACTTTCAGCTTCACATTTGGAACCATTGGACTCTGTAAGTAAGAACGCAGGTGTTAAAAGGGCATACACAACATACAACCATATACATGAGCTCATGTTGGGTACATGATGGCCACCGCTTGGAATTACTGTGATTTCAACCTAGGATAATGATTTTAGAACGGGTTTTCTTTTTCAACTCATGTGAACATGTGCATCGTTTGCACATGTTTGCACAGTGCATAAGAGTACATAGCCCATCCTGTGGGGATGGGGATTCATCATCTGCAGTTGAAACAATGTTGAAACCATAAGACTCATGGGATCCCTTACGAACCCATCCGTTGAAGCTTCAGGCCCTGGAAAGCCACGCACCGCGCTCGAGGGCATGGAGCTTTACTCAGGCCATGCCGCTGTGCCGGTGTGCTGAACAAATAAGGCGGAGAACTCTGAAGATTCTTTAACAAGAAAATCCGATAATTTGGATGGGTTCTTTAGGCCAAGACATCCATAAGTAGAAGAGTTTTCTGTTTTTGTTCAACCTCCAGAAACACGCTTTGTAGATAACCTGCGATTCCGGCGAGAACTACAGGTGCAGCTAGAGTGCAACGGGTCTTGGAACTGTGCGCTTGTTGAATGAGCCAAGCGACAGGACCCTGTGCCAGCATTGATGAGCTCAAGATCCCGGCAGGTGATTTCATACTATCACCAAGGCAAGTTTGTGGAGGAACTGGAGCTGGAATATCGGCTGAATCAGCCACTGCGGTTCCATCATACGTTGATAAGAACAATGAGAAGCGCCATCATTCCATATTTTTGGTCGGATGTGCCAAATCGTGATCATTTGCAGGCTCTCGCTATGCTATGGGCGCGCTTCGTCGTATCATGCCAGAGGTGCATGTGCAAAATGCGAACAGTGCATGCAACAGGGGTTCCAAACATATTCACGGCAGGCTTACAAGAAAGTGAACAAGTACCTGAAGGAGGCTGAAGCTTCTCTTTTGACCACCTTTGATGACAGTCTGTTACAGTTACAGTTTGTTTCTTTGTTCATGTTTGTTCAACTTCCTGCCAGGCGGTGCGTGTCACAGCCACCTTTCAGCCAGTGCTGACTGAGGAAACAGCAGTTTTTGCGCTGATGTTGTTCTGTCATGTTGTATTGATGCAGAGTTGATCTTGGCTACTTAGCGTTTGCCATCTACTCTTCTTCTCCCTGACCTCTCAAGAGACCAGATCTTATTACCATGAAGATTGAGTCAAACATTGAATGTGACGTCTTTACATGGACGTCTCTAGAACATACATGTCTCAGTAGATGTCTTACATTCCCATCCCCTTCGTTCGCCCTCCCAGGCGTGGTTAGATCCGCCGCCGGGCTTGGCCGGTGGCCCTTTCCAGGCCGCAGTACATCCACAGCGGAACTACACCGAGGCGCGAGCCACCGGTGGGGCGGTGATCGTGAGTCGGACCGGTTCACCTCTTAGGCCGGCGCCTAGGGCCTAGGCTGGCGCCAGCTACATCAGTTTGCGCAAACCTGGCCATTTGGGGCCCTATTGCCAGGAACTTCCCAGTTTAGCTTCTTGTTACTAGTAGTAATGCCAGGAGCTACTAGTAGCGTCCTTGCTCGTAGGTTTCTAGTAGCTTATTGTTCCTTGGGTTGTTCATGTTTGTTGTGTCGGAGGGAAACCCATGTTCATCGCGGGTGCCTTTCGGAAGCTCCCAGGGGGATTCCAGAGCGGATCAGCAAGATTTAAGATACAAGATGATTTAGATACAAGATGATACATACATTTTAGATTTAGCTCCATGGAGTTGGGAGACCGTGTTCTTCCTGGGTTTCCTGGACTGTCATGATGGTCATGGTTTGCCGCAGGCTCTTTGCCGGCGCCTTCTGCACTTCTGAGCGAAAAAGTTGCGACAGCGGTGTGGGAACGGCCGTGGGGCCGGGTGGGTCAATGGCGGTGTTTTTTCCGACCTCGCAGAGGCATGCTGCCTGTGAGCTTGGGTGCATGCCCAGGCAAGTGACCGTGCTTTGGTACAGCCCCATGAGAACAGATTTGTTATGATTTGTTCTTTTTGTGGCAGAGCCAGTAACATGTTGTTGTTGTTTGTGTCTTACATGTTTGCCAGACCCTAGACGTGTTGGCTATGATCTGTTTTCAGTGCAATTTCGCTGGTTCTGATCCATTGGGCTAGGAGTTGAGACCTTTCCAGTCTCCAGATCGGCAGTCCAATTCTGAGACTCGATTTGATGTTGCTTCCAGTGCAAGCCACTGTTTGTGTTATGTAACGTATATACAAATATATACATGTGACATGTGCCTTGCTGGCTGCACTTCTTGGTCCCCTGCTAGTGAAACATGCTTGAGGGGCGGAAGTACAGCTGGTCTGTTGATATATATATATAATAGTTTGGGCCGCCAGCATGTCCAAAGAGCGCCGCGCAGGAACTGCCAAAGTTTTATTGGAACCTTTCGGCACATCCAGCGCACTACTGTACATTCAAAGATATTCTTTGGGAGTTGTGGCCTTTTTCTTCTTAATCGCCTGAAACAAGGTGCGGCCTCTTGCCCCAAAGCGTCCGACGTCCTTTGGCTCGGGTCACCAAGACGCTCATGGTGTGCTCCAAAGCTCGCATGTTCTATAGTTTTTGCGCGAACGTGTCAGAAGTGTCATTGAATGCATTAGGAATGGCTGAAACTGCTTGGTGTGACTGGAGGGATTCCTTTCTATCGCTTTTGAACGTGTGACCCAGCAGATGTGCTGTATGGGTCAGGCCTTCCTAGCAAAGCTGCAGCGGTACGTGTGGCATGTGTAGCTTCTGTCCTGGCTGTTGGTGCCGGAAGGAGTGCTTATGTGTGATGCATCTTGTGGGCAAGTCATTACAGCTCAGCAGTTCATGTCTCACAGTGATGTTTTGTGGTTGATGCCATGCTTTTCTTTGTGAGTTGAATGATCCTTGTGGGCAGCTTTGAGGCCGAGTGCATTTGTGTTTACGGAGCATTCTACTCAAACATGAGCTGTGTGTTAGGAGGAGATCTAGAGGGAGGGTGCAGTTGCACCCGTTCCGCAGAGATCTCACTCTGGATGGATACCCCATTCACGGCAATGGCCCTGCACTCAATGAAACTGTGTGATGAATGTGTGATGTCAATTGTTTGTTTTTTTGTCGGGACGTGTGGCTCATTGCATCAAGGCAAGCGCTTTTCACGATTCATTCAATATCTGCTCCTGGCTCCAGCCATTCTCAGATTCCCCAGGTTACTACTGGACTCTCTCAAAGTGCACCGAGGCGCAGCCTGTTGGAGTGGCTTTCTTGTTCGAACTATGTCGATTTAAGTCTTGAGAACCTCTTCTGAAACTTTTCAGGGGCAAGAGGAACCCAAATAGGCAATATCAACACGCGGCTGTCAAAGACAGTGTCACGATGAGACTGCGAGTTGTCGATAAATGTTCCAATTCTTCAGATTGCCTTTTGTTTTCTCATGAGTCTCTTGCCAAGATTATATTACATGAGCTCCTGTGTTTGTACAAGTGCCCATCAAAGGCTTGTTTAATCTTGTTTACAATGATCTGATATATATATATAATAATGAACGCTGAAACACAGCACATCTCAGCAACAGGCTGTCATCATTTACATTCCCATCGCTGACGATGTGAAGAAGAAGGATTTGGATCAAACATGGCATGTGAAAAGGATAATCGAAGAGCGACGGTAATTTGTAGAAATACAAGGAAATACATAAGGGTGTTTGAAGTCTGAGTCTAAGTCAAAGCGCTTAAGCCTGAAAGCGTAACGGTCAGCAAGTGGAAGCTTAGTCCACGAGTGTGGGACTCACACAATGGACATCCAGTCAATGCAAAATGGAAAGACATCATTTTGAAAAGGAACATGTTCCAACGGAGTTGTGGTTGTGGAGACAACAAGGTTGTGGAGACAGCAACCTTCCGCTGGCACACTACCATTCTGTCATGCAAGTCAGGATTCTATCATCACAACCATTGATCGATTTAATGTGTATATAATATATAGTTACAGTACAGTATATATTCGCACAACAAACATACCATCACTTTATCGAGCGAGACAGCAATGTAGCTTGTTTTTTTTCTGTCATTGTTGAATTTAGACTGCTATATATAGACTATAGTAGGCGCAAAAGTAATGATCGTGCAGCACCAGTCTTCCATCTCATGAGGATGTGATTTTCGATTGTCGGGAAGGGACCCTGAAGCACGGAGGCTCAAGTCTGACAGATGCTCAGGTCGGAGACGCGGAGCTTCTGTGATCACTTGAAATGTGTTTCATTACAAGTTCCCTAAACATCCAGGAACCAAATGAGTAGTGTGAGCATGTGTGAGCTATCCTGCGTCCAGTAGCTAGTACGTAGCTATATACTTGCAGGTAGTAGCTACCTCTTCTGCTAGCTACCTACCTAGCGAATCTACCTCTACTCGCGGCCTACCCCCCCCGGGCTTTGCTGTATATGGCAGTATCAAAATAGGGAGACCCCCAGAGATCCTCTGGAAGAAGGAAATTAGAGTAAACAAAGGAACCATTGATATGAGAGCACCGTATTGAACTATTGTGACATATTCCGTATTGCAACTTCCCGGGTTCCCCAAGTTAGTACGGCTCTGTGTTGATAGGGCTGCTAGTGACGGTTAGTGTATGCAGACAGAAAGCTCTTATGGCACTTACCTGTAAAGAAAGATCCTTTGATGCGTTGAATAAGAGCTTGCAATGTAAGGAAGGTCAGGGCCGACCACAGCTAGCTTTCAGCTGCAGCTTGATCAACGGCATCAGTCAAGCCTTTTGCCTGGCAAGCCAGATACTCCTGCGCCCAGGGCTGGATTGGTGCCAGAGAAGGGAGGGCTGGTGATCAATGACAAGGTGCGCATGAAAGCGACAGAAAGACAGCCACTGGGGCTTAGCCAGTCACGCATGGGCCTTGAATTCCGATCGCCTAATTCGATCATTGAAGCAGAGCGAATCTTTGCGACCTCGTGGCCTACTAATATTATTCAGCGGCTGTGGCGAACGCCTGTGTGCGCTTCTGCTGAAAATGGAACAAGTTGATGGCGCAGCTCAGATTGGACTGCTGCGAAGTGTATGGTGGGTCTTGTGATTGGTATAGCCGTCGAGTAATCAACAGTACGTCCTGGACAGGATTGCTAGGACCTCTAAAACTGTATAAAAAATCAGTGATTGTTCTGTCCAAACCAAAGACACCGTATCCCAGCAGCTGCAGGAAAGGTAGCATCAGCTATCTCAGTTCACCATGCTTTTGCATACAATAGGGTACGAGTTGTCCGAAAAGATTTGATCTATATGAGGCTTCAAATTTGACGTTCCGAAAAGATTTGCACATTGCAATCAGCATATCTCTCAGCCCCTTTGATCCCAGCATTTAGGATCGGCACGTTCCTTGTTTGATGCCACCTCTCGTTCACCTTTCTTGCAAGCCTGCCACCATCTTGTCAAGAAATAGCAGAATGGATGGAAGCAATCGCGCCAACTAGGTAGAGAGTTGATGTGGCTGTGTAGAAAGTAGCAAGAAGCTACTAATTAAGGGCTTCTGGCATCGCTACTAGGAGCAAGGACGCTACTAGGGGCTCCTGGCCTTGCTACTAGAAGTATTCTTACTACTAGGAACAAGAAGCTACTAGTAGCAACACCTCAATAGACGGACAGGTGATAGGTGATCCTCAAGGTCGCCATAACCCTGCAGCTTGAACAAACAAAGAGGGACCCAAGAGCGACAACATCCAAGTTGATGTGTTTGTATGTCCTTCAATACAGTACAATTGGGATCAATTATGTACAATTAGTATAACTATATTTGGCTGAACCTGGCAGGTTTTGTATGAGGTTGATGTCTCTGACTCGTGCGCCCGCGGCGCATCCGCGCATCGGCCCACATTCATGTTGACCACTTAAACTTTCTCATCCTCCCATTCTTATAGATCAGTGGCCAGCGACACCAGCATCTAGGTGGCAACCATGCTGTTTCAGCACCATGACATGAGAAACATGACTGTACAGCCTCCACCAGGTACTTTACTCTGGATGATGGCGAGTATGGTGAACGTTGCATCGTGATTTGGTTGGAGAAGCGCACCAGGGAGCAGAACTGGTGCATCCCCTAGGCTTCAAAGCTTCACGGATTCTGTGTTTGGCCAAAAGGTCTGTCAAATTTCAGGCTGCCGTCCGAATTGCTGTCACAGTGTTTAGTATTGACGCTCTTGGCTGCTTCTTGTCCTTGGCTTACACAGCTGATACTTGACATGAACACATTCACCAACACATGATATAGGTGTTCCTTCTATTGAGGTACGCCTACGATCGATTTGAGCCCGTGAGCGAACGTTTCTTGCTCGAGGGTGAAAAGAAGAAGGCAGTTCGGTCCTCATTCCTCAGCCGTCTCAGCTGCTATCAGCCTTGGAAGGGAAAGATGAGTCGAAATGCTGAGACAGCGCGTCAACCAGAGACATCTGGAATCTGGACCATCCATTTTTTGGACAGAACTTGCTTGCAAGATCAGCATTTCGACAGCTGCCACAACACGTTGCATTCGCTTATTTAACCTTACATGATGCAAGAATAAGATGGCTGCAAAAAGGTATTACATAATCACCTGCTGATTTCGCAGTATGGAAAGTTATATAGTGTGTTCCTCCTTCTACTGATTCCCATCAAGTTTCACTCGAGGAGCTCAAGTTTGAGATCACTCAAAAATGCTTTTTTGACGTCGAGATTGATGAGAAGAAGATGGGACGCATTGCCGCTAGCTCAGAAAAAGAAAGCATGAATGTCTTCACTGCTGTGGGCTTTTGCGTTGCGCAGTCTGCACAGTGAAAGAGAACATGCGATGAGCATCGATGAACAACGATGAGGTCTTTGGTCTGTATGGTGACATCATGCCCCGGACAGCTGGAATCTCGTTTCACCAGGGGCAGACGGGGCAGACATTGTGACATCAGTAGATATCGGTGCGTGTTCGAGCAAGTCAAGCTCGCCATGTAAAGCAGTCAGGGTATGCATCTGAGAAAAAAAATCTGACTGTTTTGCTTCCACAGCGGTGCCTCGACTCAAGCGCTGAGACCAGCGACTGTGCAGGTCGAAAATTTCAAGTGCCTTTGCACCGGCGAGAAGGTGTGCTGTATGCTTTGCTCGGTCAAGTTTGGCTCTGACCATTGTCGACTGGGATTGCTTGGCAAATATTCTGCACTGCAAAAAAAATCCATGTGTTGGTAACTGATTTGTCAGTGAACAGCCAAATCATCATACTGTAGTTGTTCCATGTTGTTCCCCAAACAGCCACTTTTGGTCAACATAATCTTAGCTTTGTGGGGTTGCAGGTATCAATCAGAGGCTACGCTTCACATACATTGAAAATTGCTTCGACATCTTGAGCCGACCAGGGAACAAGTGAAAGCACCGGCGAGCCACTTCATTACAAAGGAACGAGGCAGGGATCCACTGGGTTTGGCTGCAGGATTGCACCATGTTGGGACAAGAAAACATGTATAATATCACCTGCGACCTCTAGCTGGTACGGCTTCTGTAGCCATGAGTATTTATTTTGGCGATTGCTCGAGTATTCCCTGAACGCGTTCTTTTATATAAGTTGAGCCTTGCTAATTGCTGAATTGGATGGACATTGCACCTTTGTCAATTCCTTTGAATGGGTGTGTTGTGAAATCCAAAAGGGGTCTCATTTAGGATTTAGGAAGGATACCCTGCTGTTTACAACTTTTGAATACTTTTGATATAAGTTTAAAGACCTAAAGACAGTAGGAACCTTAGGGATTAGAACTTACACAACACGATTGCTGTTGCTGGTTCTAAGCAATTTGGAGGAGCAGGGCATGGGTCTTCGTCACTCATCCTCGGTCCTTAGGACAAGCATAGCACAGCAGCCCTCTCTGTACACAAGTAGTTTGTCCGAAAATATTTGAGCATTGAACCATTTTCGCATCTTGAGGCAGATTCACCCAACGGTCCTAGCACTGAAACTTGGAGCTGTTTTGAAGCCAACCAACTGTTTTGGCTTGGCTGTTGCTCTTGAGGGTCTGCTCATACTCTGAGCATCTGAACGCTTCGCCGTGAACGCTTGCATCAGGTTTCACCGCGTGATCCCTGGCTTTTGCATTCAGGCGCTGGATTTGATTCTAGTGAAACGAATTCAGAGGTCCAACTGCCTTTCGCATTAGTGAGCTTTTGTGTGAAATGGCTCCAGGGCGGTCAAACCTTTGAGAATGAAGAGGGATCCGGTGGAGAATCCATTTACGGGCCAACCTTCGAAGATGAGGCTTGTGGTGTTGCTTGTATCTTGCAGACATTTAATGGTCCATATATGTGGCTGGCGGAGAATCCATTTCACTATATTTTTACAATATATTTGTATACATATTCAAACTGTATTTTCACATTGCGTCCATTATCCATCACTATATGTTTAATTGTCCTACCCGTTTGACCGTTGCTGCATTGTGCTGCACATCATGGTCCAAAGGCAAGGCCGCAGGATTCGAAGTAAGCTGAAGGCATTGAACGTGTGATGCTAACGGGTGGATTGCCATTGCTGTGCCATGTGTCCTCGCAGAGCTTGGCAGAACTTGCGGATGAAGTTCACGAACAAGGGCCTCATCGCCATGGCGAATGGAGGACCTAATACCAACGGCTCCCAGTTCTTCATCACTACGGCCAAGGCGCCATTGGAACACTGGGTACCCTCATTCGAGTCTGAAAGGATGGAGAAGAAAATAGAAGTCGAGCTGAAGTAGATTTGAATTGAATGAAAATAGAAGTAAGATTTGAAGAAGTAGAAGTAGAATTGACTTGAAAACTCTATCATTGATGACCGTAAACGTTGCATTTGACAGTTTTTGACAAAGGTAGCTGTTGTTTTTGACAGTTTAGGAGTTCTCAGCGACTGAAAAAGAAAGAAGTCTGACACGCTTTGCGAGTCCGGGTTCTTCACTTCCTGGACTCCAATAGCCCAACCTGACAGGCAGAGCATTTGAATTTCAAGTCTGTGGGCTTTGGCGAGGCAGTCAGATGTTCATGTCAATCTGCTATCAGACCAGCGAAATGTGTTGTCTTTAAAAAAACGGCGGACTTCTTTCTTCCAGCTCAACTTCCAAAACAGAGTGAACTAGTATATAACATTATATAACTATGACACGAGACGCGTTCTATTGGTCCACGCTGACAATTCAGCAACTTTCGACCAAAAAGCTTCGAAATGTTTCAATGTTTCCTTTTTTCAATCTCTTGCAGCCTTGATCCAAATTTCGTTCGACAGCTACCGTGGACACATGTTTGTCAGGTTTTGGACGGCTATGAAGTCGTACAAGCAATCGAGTCCCTCGGTACCTTCCCAAGAGTATCAGGTGGATGTTGTGTCAGCGATGTGGCCGGAGCTACTGGTGCACTGTGCTACACCTATGGTTCAAAACTTAAATAACAACTCTGACAGCCTTGACAGGGGCAACCGGTTCCCCTTGTGGTTGAACGCATTACTTGAACTGCCCAGAGTTTGAAGCTTAAAATGGAATCTCTTGTACAGTCTCTATAATTCTTAAGAATTTCACGTACCTCGTAGCAGACACTACTTCATTGCATTGTTAGAACGGGACACACACACAAAAGAAAATGACATGCTGAGGAACAGTCGATGGAGAGCCAGAGGAAAACGCCGTGTGGTGCTTGTGACCACTGGGTCAACCAGTTGGACAGAAAGGGGGGCATCCTCGCTTGCGTACATGCAGAACATATACATACACCGTGGTACATATAGTTGTATAAGACATACACAGGTGTATTGACACAAAATGGTTCATTCAATTCAGAATCTACTAAAGCCTGTGGTCTAAACTTCGCGCGACCTTTAGATGCGACGGAATGTGGCTAATCTTTGTCATAAACATTTCTTACGTAGTATGACCTGTCAAGAAACTCAGGAGATTCAGGGGCTAGACTGCCAGATTGCTTGACAATTGCTTGGCATGTCCTGAATGCATTTGAATGCAGCAATTCATACCAGTGCGGCAGATCCACCCAGGTCATTGTAGATTGTGGCACCATGGATTTCGATCCTGGCGAAAAGGAGCACCATGGCAAGTCATAGAAGCTGAGATTGATTGTTTTTGGAGTGCACCATGCGAATCTCTGAATTGAATGCGGCTGCTAGACATATTAGACATGATGCGAGCTTTGCCAGTCACTATGTCATTTGATTCTTTTTTAAATTGCCTTTTTATATAAGTCTTGAAGTGTTTTGATTGTGTCCTAAGCGGATTGAAGAAGCCACGCGGTGCGTGTTTGTCGTGCTGGGCGGTGCTCGTGCTCGCAGGAGCGGCTGCGGCTCCGCAGTGTGAAGGCACGGGGAGCCGCTGCGGTATGAGCGATGGGAGGTTTGGTGGTCGGTTTGATCAACAATCATTCAGCCTCAGCGGTCGATAGTCAAAGCATGGAAGGCAGTGAAAACTGCTGACTGGCCGCTTACGATTGAACTAAAGCTCGGGAGGCACCAGCTCTTGATGTGCATTCCTGGCGCTCAGGGAGGAATTGATTTGACCTTGCGAAATGAGATGCTTGAACGGGCTTCGGGACCCAGCACTGTGTTGAAACATGCCATAACAATCGTGTTCAAAGTGAAAGAGTACCAGAGTACATGACATGATCCCAAGATCTAGTTGCTCGGGAGTGTTGCTGAGGTGCGCGGCGCCGCCCGGAAAGGGGTCTTGTGAGTGGTCAAAGCAGACTCATTTGGGTGTGGGTCAAAGCTGTTTGTACTCAGCAGGCACAGATATATGGTGAGAATCGAACTATTGGAGATGTTCTTTGACCCACAGCCACATGGGTGTTCGAGACGCTGGAAGTAAGAGCAGAGGCGTGAGGCATTCTTTGCCATCTCATTTAAGACTCTGGAAACCAGAGCTTTGGGAGCTGCTTCAAAGAGACTGGCTGGACTCTATGTGCTTGCCAAGACTCCATATTTGACAGCGTGACTGAATGAACACTCATTTGGTGAGAAAGACAAGCGTGCTGGTTGTTACACGCCGTTTGGTATGCTTGCTTTGCCTTTGCATTATATGTTGGCTTTATGTCGGAGTTCCGGACCCTCCAGCCACCAGCAAAGAAGGGGCAAAGTTGGCCCACTGGTTGAGGGACCACGAGGGACGAAATTCTTTGGACCCACCCAATGAAGACGTGGCTTTCACGGTCCCTGCGTTTGCAACTGACCCGATCTCAGGGAGCAAAGTTGGCGTCCTCGAGCGGCCTGGGATGTTGCTTTAAGATGAACAAATGTGTGTCGAACCGCATCATCAAATCACTGCAGAAATTTGGTTGCTTTCCTTTTCTGTCAGCACTTTGCTTCCCTTCCCCGTTGAGCCCAGCCCAATAAGGTACTGCACCTTTTACTGGAAGCGCAACTGGCAACACGCACAAGAAGGTGCTCCTTTTTGTAGCAATCCGCTCCCAACCCAAAGTCACAACCTCAAGCTATGCCAAGCAAGCTCTGCCAAGCATGTGATGATTTGTTGTGCATTGGCCATTGGCTCACAGTTCCCGGAAGGGAGGATTGTTGTGACCCACGGAGAACAGTGAACAGCCCAAGGAGATGCGGAGGGGTTGGCTTGTGAAACCAAACTGCGTGGAGAGGTGATTGAGCAATGATATGAAATATATTGGCTTGATATCAAGATGAAGTGAGCATCCGACAGAATCTCCGAAGATCCTATGTCCTTAGGCTTGGTTGATACAAGATTGCGTCCGGTACTAGAATATGAAATGCATAAGAAGTATAAGAAGTCATTCCGCAATGGACAATCATGCAGGGTGGGCAATGTTGGGCTGCACCAAATCCTTGTCATCAGAGCTTAGGTTGTACCGGATTGCCACCAGAGATCAGGAAAGCCGTGCACTGACTATACAATTCCACAAAAAAATGGGAGCCAATAGACAATAGGAATAATTGCTGTGTGGCGCAATCAGTCTCCAACAAAGTGACAAACCTCAAAGGATTTCCTGTAGTTACTCGTGTTTTTCCTGGGAGGATCACTGGCACAGCATGGCTTTGCGAAGTGCTCGTATCCTTCGAATGGCCAGTGAAGCCACAGGTGGGTGACTCGGGTGCCGAACTTGTTTTCACCATGGATCATGGGTTTCATGGAGGAAGTCCACTTGCATGAATTCCCAACATATTTCTCCAATGAATGCTGGTGATCACGAATAGAGATGGTTGCCACATCTACAGTTTGATGTCATTTGCCTGGGCTAAGGTGTGACCAACAGGCTGCTCTTGACTCTGACATCCCCTGGAGAGGACGCCAGTTTCATGCCTTTCGCATCCTTTCGTTGTTGTTTCATGTTGTTTCATGTTTTAGATTTGTCGGTTTATCTTGGCTGAAGAGCAAGGCCATGTCAGCTCTTTGCCAACCAAACTTGTGCCACAGAAGCACAGGCCATTTGTGTCAAGAAGCCAGTGGACAGTGTCACCGTGCCCGGAACGGAGGCCAAATGCTTGACTTTGGAGTCTTTAGAGATAATTAGAGGACAAAACAAAGATCTAGGACTTTGCTGGTAGCTTTCTGTATCACCTTGGAAGACAAACCAGGGTTGCATATGGTTGCATGGTGGTAAGCAGATGGCGCTTTTGTCAACCAGGGCGTTTTCACCGTCACCAACAACCACTCGCTGATTGTCTCCCAGCTCAAAGCTGGCGTCATCAATGTGAGAGATGGCTCGGAGATGAAGGAGATCAAATAAGATGGCCGTCTGTGGAATTTGCACAGGGATGATATTGACCAGCTCGCAGTGTTTGGGTGCATTATTAGATATTACTGTATTGGCATGGTGAGACGAGAGGACGAGACACCCAATTCATCCCAATTCCTTTTTTTCTCCTTTTGCTTTATGTGCACAACTGGTGTCTCAATGGGCCATGGACAGACTGGTCCGTCAGTTTGGGCGTGCTTTGGAGGTACTTCAACTAACTGATTGATTGATTGATTGATTGATTGAGAAGATTGATTGAAGGATTTTGAGATTTTGAAGATTCCTCCAGTTGGACATTGTTCGTAACAGAGAGGACTAATGCCTCCATAGACTAGTTCGGTCCATCCGCTTGGAGGACTACTTCATCTCGGATGGCTTCCTGTTCTTCAATCATCCCACTGATGGCTCTGGCTGCTGCACTGCAGAGGCGCTGTCGGTTGAAGAACAGCAAATGACATGGCTCTTTCGTTTTCTGTGCTCTTTGTACTCAAATCAGCCACCGCGACTTTATGAGAGAGTGATATCCTCAAAAGAAACATACAACATGGTCATGAGACTGCCACAATTCTATATAAAGGTCACACGCATGTCAGACACTTCATAGGCAAGAAACATCAAAGTTCATCACGCAATTTGAAGCAAGAAACATCAAAGTTTGTCAGACACTTCGTAATTAGGCAATAACTATCAGCTCTTTTTTAGACAAACCTGTTGAACTGGTTGGTACTGGTTCATGTTACGAACCAAGTAAATGGCTTTGATGCGCTCCCATGTTGAAAGAACATAGATTCAACAAGCGATCTCAGTAAATTCTCAACGTTCATAGTTCAGTTCGACCGTTCATTTCATGGGAATGTACGATGCCATATGTAATTACTTCATAGGTGGCAGTACTGTACTGAAATATTTTAAAAAATAAGTACACATGGATATTATTTCAAACAGGGAGTGGTGGTGGGGGTCAAAATAATGTTGCTAGTGGTTGAGTGTGGAATGACTTGTTCGTGACGCTTTCTATGAATCTCCCGGTAAATCCCCAGGAATACCACCCACCCCCCATGTTCCTAGTTGTATGATGTTGACAAGATCCTTGAAAGTTCAAGGAATTTTATTTTAGGAGAAGCGAACTGAAGAGGGCAGTCCCTATGTGGTGGGAGTTCACGTGGATTGGGGGATTAGGGCAGGAGAGAGAAAAGTTTCAGCGGGCAAGCGGTGGAGGCGGAAGGTCCTGAATAGCTTTAGGGGCGCTCTCTTTATTCGTAGCAAGGTCTAGTTGCTGGACTGAAGAGGGCGCCCCACATGGGGTGCATGATGTCAACTGTTGAGGGCCTGCGAGAGAACCGGACTGAAGAGGGCACTCCCTATGTGGTGGGGTTGGGGGCAGGAGAGAGAAGAGATTGCAGCGGGCAAGCCTTGGAGACAGAAGGTTGTGAATAGCTTAGGGGTGCCCTGTTTTATCTGTAGCAAGGTCTGGTTGCTGGACTGAAAATAGTTCTTTATTGTTTTGGTAGGTGGTGGACGGTACCACCCAACTATGGTATCATACATTCGTGGGATGTCCTTCAGTGAGGGGGAACAGGTGCCGGTCGTCACGAGACTGACAGGTGGCCGGTGTTGAGATTGTCCCTACCTCCGCGCTGGACAAGGTGGGTGAAACCGAGCTGTTTTTTTTTGAGCGATTGCTGTTCTGTGTGAGGTTCGGAACACCTTGTTTCAGCCATGAAACAAAAGAATCATACCATACTTGGTCAGATGAAGTGTTTTAGCGTACTTGGGCATCAGAATCTTATAGAATCTTGATAAGCTGGTTACAAGCTTTTGTGCAATCTAAGTGCGTTGTCATAGGATATCATTTGCACTTGATGGCTGACTGTTGATCCTAAAGGTGTCCTTTCATTGTTGAATGAACACATCATGCGGCGCTTCGCCATGAATCTGTTCTTGTTTTTCAAGGCCTGGATTATCCTTGATTCTTTTTTGGTTTCATGTTTTGCGGTGACGGGAGACGAGTTTGTGGTGTTTCCGTGATTTGTTGGGTTCGCTGGATAGTCCAAGTCAAGGGGTCCGTGGTCCGCACTCAATTTTTCGAATTCCAACTAGAAACAAACGAGGCGTCCAGATTGTCCATAGGGCCCGAAGAGCTTCGAAACTGGAAAGTTGCCTGGGATCCTGCTATATATATGACTCTGACCCTCTATTAGACTATATTAGGCCCGTATCAAAAAAAGGTAAATATTAATATACAATATACAAAAACTGAAAAACACCTGCAAATGGAAGGACTTCCCTTTCCCCAATGAAGGTGACTGCTGGGTAGCTAATTTAAAAGGTATGCCCAAAACATGCTTAGGGGGGGCATTCTAGTATTCAGAAATGAAGTAAACCATTGCTGCATTGAGTGGTTTCCGATCTGGAGTTGTTTGAAATTTGTTCAGGCTTTTTATACACCAAATTGCCAAAGCGGATGGATTTGAGGCCACCCTAGTAGAAGGGACCCTTGAGTCAAGGACAGTTCCGTATGCCCAGTTTAGAGCCAAGCGCTGGCATTTTCGGACTGGGCTTGGTTTGCAAACGTGGCACGCGGCACCGACATGTGTTGGGCTATCCCCGACATAGTAAGGTTCCAAAACAAACATCAGTATTTTGGTAGTGACAGGAATTCGGGGGAGTGAACCTGAAGTCAACGGTGCTGACCACCGCTGTTCGCTCTAGGACCGCGCCACTCAAGTGCTTTCAGAGCTGATGGCAGCGCCCAAGGAAGCTTGCGTTCGGGTGAATCGCTGCACCCGGACTCGTTTTGCTTGAAGGAGTCCTCTCCAAACTTAAGAAGACTAAGATATTCTTGGCCGTCAAAGCATGACAGCATATGTGATCCTTAGCATCACTTGGCGTAATCAGCCCTGGATCAGAGCATGCTAGGATATCCCATGAACCAGACCTAGTTTGGTGGTTTCCCAGGACAATGAGTGGGATCGTGCAAAAGCGCAGTTGGGGGCTGCACTCGTGAATCAGGTCATTAAGGCGTGGAGAATACTTGGCAAATGCTGGAACAAGCCTCTTTGGAATCATGGCAACCTCAATGTTTTTGAGAGATCTACAGTACATTATATAATCGAACTCTTTAACTTTAACCTACTGTAAAATCGGGTTGATTACTGACAGTAGTTTATTATTTGTATGGTTTCAGAGGCCCGGAGACTTTTAGGTTTATAATTGGCAGGTGGCTTACCGTTGTGATGTGACAATGTGAACAGGATTTGTGTGTCCTTTGTTCGTACTTTGGCATAAAGAGGAAGACATTCGACATGCTGTTCTGTAGTTTTGACAGTCTTGAACAATTATAGCTTTTGCGGTTTTTGGATTTTTTTTTGTTTGCTTTACTTTCACATGTTTGAGTCTTGAGGCTGCGGAGTGAGTATGGATTGGCACGTGAGGGCCGCCTCATGGAATCATTTTGTAAACATAGGAAACGTTGGAAACTGAAGGTCTGGGCAGAGACATGATACTGAACCTCCTTAAAAAAGAAAAAAGACAAAACAATGCAACCCGCAATTTCGGAACAGCATCTAGAAACACACTCTACGATTATTTTTTTTTATAGATGGGCCTCGTGGAATGCTAGCTGATTTTGAAGAAGATGCTCAGATGGCTGATGGACACTAGGAAGGCCCAATTGCCCGGCAAAAGTATTGGTGAGCGCTGCTTTGCTTCAGTGCTGTCATGCCGGCAGCAGACCTGGTTGAATCAAGGTCCTCAACAAGGCGTTCCCCAGCCTTTTCCAATACAGCTTCGGAGATTTACATAATATGAAACATGTTAACTTTGGCAGCACAAAACACATGACTGACGTGGCAAACATGGAAGCAGTGGTGTCAAGGATCTATTGGTTCAAGAGCTCATTTTGCTTGACTTGTACATTGTACATGCCATCACAATATAGCATTTGGCTCAACATGTTTGTGCTGAAGAGGAGTATGACATCATGTTATCAAAAAAAAAACTGCAGCATCGCATGGCCTTGCAACGGGCAAAGGTGCTGAAATGGGCATGCATTGCCTGAAAGAAACTAAAAGCAAGAGCATTTGCATCTCACAGGAACAGCCGAGAAACTACTTAGATTGGAGCCTTGATGGAAGCGCAGAGCCTTGATGGGGATCCAAGGCTTGCTTCCCTTCCTGAAGTCCTATGTCAAGAAGAAGCACATCGAGGAGTTTCATGGAACAACCATTGGGGTTGATGCAATGTGCTGGATGCACAAGGGTGCATATGCCTGCTCTCGAGAACTCGTCATAGGCCAAGACACAGACAAATTTGTTCGATTCTTCTTGAAGATGTGCGAGCTCTTGCGATACTACCGGATCAAGTAGCTCGCTCGCAGGGCATTTATCCCTCGGGGTGGTGAGACAAGATGTCTGCTTTCCAGAACATGTTTACGGTAAGCACGTACACCTGCAGAAATGGTGTGCATGCAATGTTCATCAATTCAATTTACAGCACAGAAGAGGTGCTTCAAACAATCCAGTTATATACAGCACATTTCTGCTTCGATTCTGCACATGCAAATGCACACTATTTGATTCCCTTTGTTTCTGAGGCCCATCATTGTCTTTGACGGGGAGAAGTTACCTGCCAAGGCCAAGGAGGATCAGAGACGTAACCAAGTCCGTGAAGAATCACGGCTAAAAGCCTTGGAGCTCATGCAACGCAAGGAGCCCAACCACTTGGCAGAATTGTGACGAAGAGTCAGCAGAGCAGATGAAAGTCTTCGATTTGCACACATGTTGTTGGAGAGATTTTGAGTGGGGATGTTGGAGTGACAACACATGTCTTGTATAGGATGCTCGATCGTCTTTGACGGGTCGGGAGCCGAGCCTTCAGATGCCTTCAGGAGTCCGGTGAAGCCGTGGAGGAGCGAGAAGTGGCCAGCAAGTGACCAGCCCAGCAGACAAAGCGACAGACAACGCGGCAGACGGTGCTTGCTTTTGTGATACGAAGCGCTGATGTTATAGAAATCTTTCATTGGAGAGAGCCTGTTTTCCAAATTTAAAACAGTCCAAAAAAGAAGTCAATGAGTCAATCCCAAAAGTCAAAGTCAAAAAACAGTCAAATCAGACAGTATCAGAAAGTCACAAAAAAGTCATTTTGCCCAGATCCGACTTTTTTTGACATGTTTTTCGACCTCTTTTTTGACTCTTTTCGATTTGTTTTTACTTTTTCCGAGTGGTTGACTTTTTTGATTTGTGTTTTTTACTTTTTCGAGTTGTTTTGTTTTTTGAATTTGACATTTTTTTAAATATGTTTTTTGTTTTTCGACTGTTTTTGACGTTTTTTTAAGTGTTTTTTCGAGCTGTGGTCTATGGTTGACTTTTTTTCCGACTTTTTTTCGATGTTTTTTTTTTGACTTTTCGATTTGACTTTTTTGATTTTTTTTAATCAAGGATTCTGGCCTTACCATAATATGAAAGTGTTTTATATCGCTGATGGTCATGTAAGCTGAGCTGTAAATGTCGAGTTTGAACACGAAGACTGGGACATGTCTAAGTGGCAGATCTAAGGTGTGAGATGGCCATCAAGGTGACCAGCTCGATGATTTCCAGGTTGCAAAGTGCATTGAAGGAGCTGTCCATTGACTTTCTCGTAGCTCCGTGATTTGGCAAGGGTACAGCGAACAGTTTGTTTTTGTTTTTTGTTTTTCCGAAGAGGTCTTCGCTCGTCATTGCTTTTGCATGCCACTCTTAACATCTCTTAACTTGTTGTCACCGTCATTTGAAGTTGCTGTTGTTTGATGATGTTGATGTAATTAAGGGTATGTCGACTGTTCAGAAGCACTTGTGCCGGCATGAGCCCACCGGTCAAGTGGATTGATGCTAAGCACCTGGATTCGTGCCACTGCCCTTGCAGGTACGAGGCCGATGCCCAGTTGGCGTACATGTGTAGACAGGGTTGGATCACCACTGCCATTTCTGAAGATAGCGATTTATTGGCCTACGGATGTCCATCCACCTTCTTCAAAATGGACAAATATGGGAACGGCGAACACATCGCTTTGCCCTGCTTGCAAGTGGATCATGCAGGCTCGGAGGCTGACAAGCTGGACGCACCCCTCGTCCCCAAGGTGAAAAAGCCGGAGAAAGGCAAGAGGGGGAAGAAGCAATCGATTCCTTGCTTAGCAAAAAAGGACAATTTCTGTATGTGTATGTTTTCCTTTGTACCAAGTAAGCCTGCATTTAGGACCATGACTTGGGGCTTTAAGAGGGTGAGAGTGGTGCTTTTCTGCAGTTACCAAGGGCGCCAAAGGAAAAAAAGTGAAGAAGGAGCTCCTGACGAGGAAGGTGAATCCAAAGCAGGAGCAGCAAAAGGAAAGAACAAAGGGGATGAGATGCAGGTACAGTCCAATCTCAACTGTTGGTCTCCAGAGAAGTTTGCAGAGTTTTGTGTTTTTTGCGGAACCGACTACAAGGAGCCTGACACGAACATCAAGAAGTTTGGTATCAAAACAGCTTTTACACTGATGTGTACCCACTCTACGGCGCGGGGTGTGATCAATTGGATGGCAGAACAGCAGAAGTTTCAGGACCGGCTCCCTTGCAAAGGCAGTGAGTACATGTCTCGTTTTGAAAGAATCATTGCTGTCTTTTGGCACCACGTAGTCTTCAATCCCAAGCGTGGAGAGTGCACCTCCATCGCGAGCTCTTTTCCTTTGACAGCAGCCTATCGCGTGTTGGAAGACTTAAATCTGGAGGAGGTTTGCGGAGTTCGCTTTGGTCGGGAGATCGCTTTACAGGTGGCGAAGGGTGAGTTGGATCCGCGAAGTCGACAAGTGAAGACCTTAGAGCCCTTGAGCTTTGCGGAACGTCGGGCCATTGATTTCCTCCTCGCAGAGAAGCGCTCCGAGCAAATGGACTATCGAGTGAAGGTGGCTCTAGAGGCTGAAGAGGCCAAGCGACAGGCAGAGGTCGAGCAAGACCATTCGCTTCGTGAAATTGAACAAGAAGAAGTGAATCAAGTCGTAGAACCAAGTCAGAAGGATGCTGCTCAAGAGAATCAGGACAGAGAACTGCGCTTGTTGCCAGGAGACTTGAGGAAGCTGATGGAAATTCGGAATGCATTGAAAAAGAACAAGGTTGAAGAATCGAAGCCGGAGCCTGTGGAAAACCACAAGTCCAAGAATCCATTTGCCAAGAAACGCGTTGCCACACCCTGCCACAGTCGCACTCCAAGTGTTCCCATTCCCATGGTCAAACGTGCCCGTGCCGTGACACCTCCATCGGTTCCACAGACTCCACTGATTCCGCCAGAAGGGCAGCGGTTGAAGGATATAGCTGCACATCCCAGAGGTGGGTCCGGAGCCAAAGAAGCAGCATATGCTGTGCTGATACAAAGGGGCTTCGCACCACAGCTGGAGGATAAAGAGAAAGCAAAGCTGAAATACTTTTTTGGTTCAAAGAAGACAGATGCCCCAAGGCAAGAAGAAAAAGTGGAAAGCAAGCTGGCAGGCTGGAAGCCACGGTCATGGGAGGAGGACGAAGACGAAGAAAGGTCCACCGTGGGCCGCAATGTGCTTTCAATTCGAAATGGCAACAACGGGCTATGGCGAAAGTCGTGGACTTGATTTTCAGAGCGGTTCTTGGTTTGCAAAGCAAACCTCAAAAATACTACAGGTATCAACCTGTAGATATCTTGGGGATGGGGATATAGCATCAATCGTGGACGCACAAACAACTCGACAAACTGAATTTGACAAGTATATTCTTAACAATCATATTCAACAATATTCAACACCCATTTTCTCGATGCTTTCTCAACACGTCTTGGTGTTTGCACAAAGGCGACATCGCTTCGCTGCCGTATCGCTTAGATTCTCAACACCTGGCCAGGGAAAGGCCTGCAAATGATGCGATGACCTCGACGATGATGGGGCAGATGATGTGTCCATGCAGTCCAGGCAAAGCTGATCAAAAGAATCAAACTCGAACAACCAGCGGTCACCCAAATCAAATTCTGCTCGCCCCCAATCACACAAACACAGCGGCAATGGCTTTCAAAGTGAAGCTCGATGCTTTGAGCAGGAACCACAATCGTTTTAACTATTTAAGGGGTGCCGGTGCTATGAATAGGGAGTCGAAATAAATAGATATAGAAAATTGAAGATTGTGTATAAAATGGATAGGATTTATTTCTTTAAATCTATAAGTCTTCTATAATCGAAACGATCTTTATAGCGATATATATATATATATATTTAAATATTAAATATATAAATTATTATTATTGAATATTTCATCGGATTATATAATTTATTATGAAATGATATTATTTTATTTAGGGAAATTATTGAATTAATCGAATTATTATTATTTATAGAATTATTTGGAATAATAGTAATTATTGAGAAATGATAGGATTTTGCATATAATTAATTGAGAAAATTTATAATTTTAATCTTTAGGTATTATTAACAATTACAATTTTTAACATATTAAAAACAACATTGAATTTGGTTTGATTATATTCTCTTCGATTTGATAATTTTTTTTTGATGAATACAAATTAATTGATTAATTTCTTTGTATATGAATTATATGATATTTTTCTTTAGGTTTTTATATTTCAAAATAATTTTTTAATAATTATTGTATTAATATATTGATGAATCTGCAAAGACAAATATGAATGAATTTGATTAGTATTTTTTTTTAATATTGGGAATTATAATCTTTCTTTAAGACCTTGTGCATTTTGGGGGGTGGATTTTTAAATCAACCTAAGTATGGATTTAATTATGGAATATTAATATGGAATTGAATCTATTAAATATATAAAGATTAAAATATCGAATTCTATATATATTTAAAACCTGAATGATCTCTATTTTGGACTATCAACCACCTAAAATATGGCCTTTTCCTATTAAAACAGGGATTAATTGGGTTCCATATTTATATCTTTATCGACTATATCATTTTTTTAAAATCATTTCCTTTCGTTAAGATCTTGTGCAAAATGGATAGATTTTAATTAATTCAAATTTGATTGTCCTTCTGTGAAAAATATATTCTTTTGAAGAATGATTTTAATTATGAAAAATTCTATAAATTTATTATCGATCATTTCTTCGGATGTTATAAAGCTATTCCAAAACGAAATCACGAGATGGAGGTGGTTGTTTGGGCTGTTGTATTGTGCAATGATTTTTATCAGAATTAAAAGAATTTCTATATGTATTGGCCTAGGAGTAAGCGCCATCTCAGCTTCAAGCCCGGCAGCCATTTCTCGTACCTCTCCGTGCACATGTCTCCATCTCCTTTCTGGGATCACGACTGTTCTGGAATCCTTCAATGAAGATTTGCTGGCTGCTATTGATTTTGATATTTGTACAGCTGAGACACCAGGTCCCAAATCCTGGGGGTATGGTACCCCTTCCATCTACTATTCAAGATGGTCAATCCATGCCTGGCGCGAGGGTTACCACCAAGACCTCGCTTGGTGGTGAGAGTGTCATCGACCTGCCGATTCACAAGCGGCCTGACATGAAAATCCACGAGGTTTGGGCGACATCAGGCTACGGCCTAATTGTGGATCCATCCAGATGCAAGAGAATCAAGAGGAGCTTTCATCGAGCATGCAAACGAGCATACAAGTACGGATGCACCCAATATCGTGGAAAGGATTTCTGGTATTCCAACATCCCTTTCCGGATTCGACAACAGCTGGCTCACGAATCCAATATCCCAGCTATGAAGGTGGGATCCACCACCTCGATGACCCGGACAACAGACTCCTTGAATATATTTTGTTGGAACGCCTCTAACGGGCTCCTGCTGGATGAATGGGTGACTTGGCTCACTCAGACTTCGTATGATGTTGCTGTCCTGCAAGAAACTGGCTGGCGATTCAGCAATCAATGGGTCTCTGGTGACTGGTACATGCTACATTCCCATGGCCATCGAGCCACTGTTCTTTGCATGATCCGCCGACGACTGCTGCGTCCGGATCAACTTGCTTGGAGTGAATTGTGCCCAGGCCGGCTCATCCATGTTCGATTACATCTATCCCGCATCCACGATATCATTTGTGTTTATCAGCACTCATGGAGTTCATTGAAGGAACGTCAAATCCTTCTACATGATAGACTTCAGGTCTTTGAAGCCATCCGTCAATGTATTCTTCATGTTCCCAAGAGTCACATGTTGTTGCTTGCAGGTGATTGCAACACACCCCTGACCGCTGACGCACCTCATGTGCATTCACGTGACCCCAAGTATGGCATGGCTTCTCAATGTGATAAGCAGGACTTTCAAACCCTGGTTCGTGATTTGGACCTGGTTGCTGTTCATTGTCAACATCAGTGGAAACCAACCTTCCAGCACGGGGACCACTCTAGTCGAATCGACTTTATGTTCGTTCGTCGACACCAAGTCCAATGGACTAAACATCGAGCACAGGTACTGACCCAGTTCGAACGAACGACTGGCAGCAGTGCACCTGTCCATCATCCACTTGTCATGTCCTTACCAAAATGGTTTGCACCTCCCCGTCAGCAACCACCGATTAATTCGATCGACCGCCATCGACTGAGGCTTGAATATCAGTCACAGACTGAGAACTGGCTCACCTTCGAAACTGAAGTCATGAACACAGTTTGCACTATCACCACTGAATCTAATTCGGTTGATCCCTCTCCACATGCATCCAGGTTGAACAGCAAATCAGACAGCTGTGTCAGAACCACTTCCCCCGAGTGAGCCGATTTCGACCCATGTGCTCTCAGGTCAAATCTTTGGCTGCTCAAATGTGGTATGCCAGACGGCAATTACTACGTCTTCGTTCAACCTCCATGCAGGCCGTGTTTCAGGGTTGGTCTTGTGTCATTCGATTCGACAAGCTCCATAAAGTCATCAGACGTCAAAGCAGACAAAACCGCAAGCACCGCTTAGATGCCTTTCTTGCTGAAAGTGTCCCCCTGGTTCTTCAGAACAAATTGCATGACTGGTATAAGCGGATTCGTACCCTGTGCCCTAAGCACTCAGGCGGATTCAGATGTTTGATATGCATGGGGCACCACTGTCCCAAGCCCAAGAACTTGAGCGCCTGACTCAATATTTTCAGGACTTGTTCACGGACCCTCATGCACCCATCATGATCCCTCCGGCTCTGACTCGATTGCCATTCACTGAGGCAGATGTTCTACATGAACTTCAACACCTTCCAGTGACGAAAGCACTGGCCCCTGACGGTTTTCCTGCTCTGATTTGGAGACATTTCGCAAGCATTTTGACACCCGTGATGTTTTCATGTATCAGACATGCATGGTGCCAAAGCCAGAGTCTACCACCGTCACATTGGTCAGCAGGATGGCTTCACCTTCTTGCTAAACCCAACAAAACCCCAAATCAACCAGCCGCACTCCGCCCGATCTGTCTTCAACACCCGATGCATAAGGTCATGTCCAGCATTCATTGTCGATTGTTGCTTGAACAGGCCCATGGTCCTCTCTGTCAGATGCCCATGTACGCGTACATGCCTCACCGAGGAACACGTGAGTGTCTTCTGACGGTGTCCCATCACTGCAGACAGGTGAGAGAGCTTTGCACTGCTCATCGGAAAGACGATGACAAAGCAGGTCTTTGGGGAGGCCTCCAAATTTCGTTGGATATGGAAAAGGCATTTGATACTGTCAGCAGACAGTTGGTATCCAGGGCTCTCCATGCCTTTGAGGTCTCAAGTGACCTCCAATCGTTAGTACACTCGTGGTTGACCCCCCACACCTACTACATTCCCTTTAAGGAAGTTGTAGGAAAAATCCAGGCCACTGGTGGCATTCAACAAGGATCAAAGGATGCTCCGCTCTTTTGGAACCTTACGATGTATATCATACTCCACGACTTATTAGCTCAGTACGACCACGACTGGATCTTAAACCACCTGGTAGTGTATGCAGACGATTTTCACATGCGCTGGATTGTCCGATCACCTGCAGATGGACTTCGCGCTATGCACGACCTATCCTTCCTGATGAGGGTGTTTGGCGCCTATGGACTGAAGATCAATCCTCATAAGAGCTTCGCAATGATTCGACTCGTTGGGAAGGCCCTTCCTTCGTTCCAGAAAAGATGGATTAGTCGCACGGCCAATGGCCCAATGCTTCGACTGCCTGACATGGCTATCACAGTGCCGCTGGTTGCCAAAACGACCTATCTTGGAGTCATCATCTCGTATAGGGCATGGGAAGTCGATACAACTAAACGCAGACTCACTGCAGCCCAAACATGCTTTCGAATCCTGCGGAGGTGGCTCCTAGACAAGCACCATCCCATGCAGACTAGGATCAAATTGTACCGTCAGTGTGTTCTCCCCACGGTCCTTTACGGGGTGTTTGAAATGGGCCTCACACAACATGGCAGTAGCACCATCATTGGCATGATCAATAAACACCTAGGTTCGATGGCACATGCACCTGTTCATCTCACACGTATACCAACTCAAGAATTCTTCCAAAGTCTTGGCTTGTCTCCACCATGGCACATACTTCAACGACACTTTGATCGTTTGATTAATTCCCTGAGTCACCGCCGGTCTTGCCTTCGAGCATCAGCCATGTCGACCATGCCT